CTGTGGGAAGTGTACTTCTAATTCGATCCCTGTTCCATCAGTTGACCCAAATGATAAAAAGTTAGATGGGGATAGGGTTCATGTCTGCAACTTTTGCTTTCAGCAGTGGCGGCAGGAAGTACCTTCAGCATCTAATGTAATCTTGACATCAAATGCCGGCATGGATGATTCATCTTTAACAGATAGTATGGTTAGTACAAGATCCAGTTGCACTTTTAAGAGTAGTATCATGACCGCTTGCTCCATATCGTATTCTAAAGAAACATACCAACGAGTTTCTTATGGGTCCCCTTCTAGCTCTGTTCAATCTGGGATCATAGAGCTTGGTACTAATAAGCAAGATGCTCTAATACTGAGAAGGAATATGAGTTCTGCTGCTTACATAGGCAATATTTTTTCTAATAACTTCGGTTACTGCAAGAACAGGTATGTTAATTTTTCACATGAAACTATACCCAGTGATAGAAACATTTCTTCAGTTATGAGCCAAAAGAATTTGTTATATGGGAAGTCTGAAAGATAAATATTTCAGCAATTATCATCAATGTTTCTTCTTAAACGTAATTTCTGTTGTTGAGCAGATCATGTGTAGATTGGCCGTCATTATGTGATTAGATTATATCATAAAAAAAGTTTCCTTCACATTGACACTTGAGACTTTACCTTTTAGCCTTTTTTACCTATGGTAGTTTAGATCTGATTCTCGGTGGTTCTTTAATGGTCATCTAAATCATCTGCCTTTTTGTGCAGAAAAACTGGATATGTTAATGGTTTTTCTTAAAGAAATTTTGGTACAGGTCCTCTTTAGTTAGTTCAATCTTTCCAATATTCTTTAGCCTTATATCATGAAACCAGGATTTAAAACTCGTGACTTGTTGTATTTAAAATGTATGCACTACATTACATCCCTCCTTGAAACTGCTTTGAAGTATTGTAAAAAATTGTGAAAATCGGACCGGGCAACAAACCAGAAGAGTGAGAGGTTCACAGTTCGACCGGTTGGACCGGTCGAACCGGGGTTAAACCGGATGACGTAATAAATACTAATTTTATTTTAAAAAAATAAATAATCAAAATAATGATGCTATTATTGTAAATTATGTGACAAAAAATTAACGAGAACATAAAATTATGAATAAAAAATACACAAATAATTAAAATAGCTCTTTTAAAATAAAAACTAAAAAGATATAAAAAGTATTTGAGAAAGAATAAACGACAGAAAAATAACAAATTCTCATAATAACTATCAGGATAACATCACAAAATGTTTTTCCATAGGAAGCTCTATTCAAAACCAATCCTTGGCGAGATAATTGTAGAGTTGTGAATTGTTCAACCTTTTTACCTGTTTTAAACTTTTAATTTATTTCCTAATATGTAACTTTATTATCGGAACCGACATTGGAGTGCCGGCAAAGCACAAGATTCGAGTGATATCTAAAAATTAAAATCTTGCAATCTGTATTGCCCCAGGTCGAGTCGGGAAGAGAAGGAGTTCTTCAAAGAAAATAGAAAATCAATTGGAAAGAGCAGGAGAAGCCGAGAAGAATAAGATACCCGGGAAATAGAAATATAAGGAAAGAAGGCGTCGTTTGTCCGTCTCTTCTTGTCGTTCGTCTCTTCCAGTCATTCTCCTCCCAGGCTTCCGTCATTTGTTTCTCCGGGATCGTTCGTCTCCGTAGGATTTGTGAGAAAGATGAAAGAAGAGCTGCGCGTAAAATATTGTTTTGGCTCGAACTAAGGCCCTGTTTGGGACGACGCTGCCGCTGCTTTACTTTTTAAGACGCGACGAGATGCCGTTTGGCGCAGTGCGTTTCACCTATGGCAAGAAAATTTCTCAAAACACGCTATTCGGAACCGGCCGGTTCTTTCAAACGATCCCGGTCCGGCGGTTCGACGGTTCAACCGACATTTGAACGGGTTTTTGGCCGGTTTCATTGCAGCCCGATTCTAATGGCAGAACCGAACCGGCCGTTAGACCGGTTCCCGGTTCAACCGGTTGAACCGGCCGGTCCGGTCCAGTTTTTAAAACCTTGAATTATATATATATATATAAGAGAATATTACAAACATTTTAAGAGATACCAAAGTTTCTATGTGAAAAATTCAAGAAAAAAAAGCATAACGGGGCCTGACTCAGTTAAAATTATTCAACTAATATTTGTCATCGGTAAAAATAATGCCCTTTCTTGCAGGAAGTCATTGATTTATTATAGTAAACATATTACATGGTTGAAATTGGAAGAGCCTTATAACATTAGAGTTATCTTTTAAGTGATCATTTGCTTGTTTGTTTGACATACTTCTTTGAGAAGAAGAAAAGAAAGACAAAAATTCCAGCATAAATACCAGTCATGATGTCGGGTGTCAAAGTTGGTATCCAAGGCATGCATCAATTTATAAATGATAATATGTATTGGTGTTATTAGCAATTTTAGGTGATGAAATCAACATGCTTTGGTGTAACCATCTGATAATAGTCAAAAGACCATAAGATAGAGAATTGTAATTAAGTGATATTGGATAGAGGACCATACTAGGGAAATGATGGTTGGAGGATCATATTCAAACAATGTTGGTAGAAGGAGTGCAATCAGACAATGGAGGTTGAAGGACTATGGTGAGGTGATGGTGGTTAAAGGATCGAATCATAGTCATGTGACAGAGGTTAGAGGATAACATTAGTGCAATAGAGGTCAGAGGGTCATAGTCGGAAGACGATGGTTCGAGAATCATAGTCATGAGGTACCGGTTATCATATGATCATTGTCAGGCAATGATAGTTGCATGTTTATAATGGGCGAATGAACTTAAAGAATCGTAGTCTACAGAAGATGGTAGGAGGACAATAATCAAGTGATGGAGATTAGAGTAACATACTCATATGAGGGTAATCAGAGTACTATAGTTAGGCAGCGATGATTAAATGACCCTAGTTGATAGAAAAATGTTAGAGGAATAAATTCGACCAACACTAGTTGGAGGTCCAAGGATAATAGTCAAATGATATTGAACATTGGATTGTCGTGGTTGATTAAAGGTCGGAGGACTATAGTCAGAATGATGATGGTTGGAGAACCATAGTTCGATGATTGTGATCATAATTCATAGAAGCGTTGTTGAGCGACGGTGGTCAGAGGACAATAGTTGAGCGATATTTGTCACATGATCGTAGTTGGGTGAGGATAATTGAATGTTAGAGGGTTGTAGTTAGGCAACAATGGTCATAAGATTATAGTCGAAACAAGTCGGAGGATTATTGTTCGGTGATTAAAGTCAGAAGACCATAGATTGTTTTGTGTTGTTGCTATAATTTGATCATTTTGAAAAATAATTGAATTTGAATATTAATTTTTAACTAGTTGTTGGCTAGAATATTTACGGTAATGAAGTGGGAAAATATTTTATCTTAGCGTTGTAGGATACCCAGCACACAAATAGAGAAATTAGAAACACCAGAATTTTTACGTGGAAAACCCTTAAGAAGGGGAGAAACCACGAGGCCATGTATAGTTGAAATGATTCAACTAGTATTTGAATAGATTACAAAAATCGCCTCTTAACATAAAGATGCTTAGATTACAAAAGTCCAGGAATTGAGTTGAACTTCATGTGGATGTTGGCGGCCGGGTAAAAATCTGATGGTGGTAGAGTGGAAGTCCTACAACTGTCGGACATAAGTCTAATGATGATCGGTGGCCGGGCAGAAGTTCAACAATCAATGGTGGCTGGGCGGAAATCCGACTACAATCAGTGGAGGGTGGAATTTCGGCAATAGTCAGTGGTCTGGCGGAAGTCCGATGATGATTGGTGGTTAGGAGGTGGTTGAGAAGGAGAAATTTCGTGGCAAGAAAGCTTCTAATTTCTCTTTGTTCCTTCTCTTCTTTCATCAAGATTGGAGAGGAGAATATCAATGGTATGTTGGGAGTGCTTTGAATGGACGATTGATATCAACTCCCTTGATTATAGAATGTTTTGTTGAGTGTTTAAGTGCATTAATGATGTCAAATTAGATGATCTTAGGCTCGTTGCATTGGTCTCGTTGAGTCGCTTGATTTGACTATAAGAATGTCACATTGGGATATTCTTGGTCCTCTAATTTTTGCTTTGAATCAAATAATTGTGCTTCGAGCTATTGATTTGGATCCATTTGAGCCCGAATTGGATCGAATTTAGTATCGTTGGATTTGTCCTTTTGAGATGTTTAATTCGACTATAAGTTTGCTTAAATTGGAGTCCCAAAGGCTCTGGATTTAATTTCAAAAGTTTCCAATTTAAAATTGCATCAAAATTCATTGCTGATCAAGATAAATTTTTGATATATCAAAACTAATTCAACCTAACGATGGAATATGAAACTAAAGTCAATGCATTTGATAGATTTTGAAAACAAAAATTGTATATTAAATATTAATTATAAACTAATTCAACCTAAAGATGGAAAATTTTAATCCATTAGCATTATTATCAAATATTTTTCAGATCAAAACATTATGTTCATATGTATTGTACATTTTCAATAGTAATTGATGTTGAGTAATACAAAATTTTAAATTTGAATTAATTTCATAATTTTTGCACAAGTTTCATGATAAATTGTCAACCTAATTATCGATGATCATTTGAATAAAAATAAATTCTACAAGAAAAAATAACACCAACCCAGTAATAGCCCTTTTAGTCTGATTTGAAGATGTGAAATGTACAAAAGGGATGTAATTTTCAGTGACATAAGAGCGCTTTGCAAAATTGAGCTAGTCAAACTGTTAAAAATTCTTTGGACATAATAATAATGCCCTGAAACCAGACATCCACGATTTCATAGATGACATTATCAAGTAAAAAAATGACCATTCAAGTTACAAAGCAATCTAGATATAATAAAACCAGGTCCCAAAATTTGGAACATTTGATTTTCATCCACCAATTTCGTTGCTAAGTCCCAGCACGCGAATGCAAAACATACATTTATAGCCATAAAAATATAACCAAAACAATGAAAACAAAGCACAAATTAAATAAATATTCAATGTACTGAATTCATGAACATAAGCACGGCTCACAGCACGATCAGGAATTCACCACAGCAAAAATTTAAAACTACAAGTAGCAATAAGTACCAAATCCATAATTTCGACATAAAATAACAATTGAAATTACAACAGGAGATTGCTCCAATAGAAAACCTAGCGTTAAAGTATCTTCCATTTACCTAGAACCTTAGCTTCGTGAAGAACCACCGATTCTTCCCCGTCTTGAATCGCTCCTCGAACCGCGCCTTGGTTTCCTTGCAGGCTGTGACCTTCTTATCGCGAGACTGGAGAGCATCGAGGGTGGCGACGTCCTTGAGATCGACATCGAGCGTGTATCGCGTGGGCATGATGTGGGTGTAGTTGACAAGCTTAAGGAAAGCCTTCACCCTCGACTTTTTCGCCGTTTTCTTCGCTGAGTCCTTACGGATGACCTTCCTCGGGTACTTGGAGAGACCAGCGACGAGGCAGTGGCCGTAAGGGCGGTCGCGCGTGCCATCGTCAAAGGATCGGACGATAACCGCCTTCCGGCCTGCGAAGCGACCATTGAGGACGATCACGGCCTTGCCAGGCTTAAGAAACTTCACCATTTTTGAACCCTCACTTCCTCTTCCCACGGGATTCCGCCTTTCTCTTCTGCTGCTGTTGGTCCGAAACCCTAATCCTCAGAAATATGGATAGTGGCTAACGGTGATATTACGAGCTTACCCCAATATAATTAAGAAAATAACGTAAAAGTATTTGTTATGAGAAGGTTGCCTCAATTAGAGATTATTTTGTGCGGATTCTGAATGCAATTCTATATTCAAATATCAATTAAAATGGGACACATATCGAGCAGCGGTATTGAGCCACAATACCATGCATCACCAAGCCGTGGTCAAGTTGTGGTCTTACGTATTTAGACGGGATTTGACTTCCACACAGGTCGTTGACCGGAAACCCTAATCCTCAGAAATATGGATAGTGTAATGGTGATATTACAAGCTTACCCCAATATAATTACGAAAATAACGTTAAAGTATTTGTGGTTTATGAGAAAGGGTTGCTTCATGAGTACAAATTTGAATTGCAAATTTGTAATTTCATTTATTATTATTTTTTAAAATAAAAAAATAAAAAAATATTAGAGAAATTACAAAATATTTTGATGGTTAGGTTGGTAAATTTTATTAATAATATACACAATGAAGACATAAATAGAAAAGATGATGAATATATTCATAAAAATAATAAAAAAAGGTATAAAAATAATTTTGACAATTAATGCATCAAAATCTTCATGAAAGAGATAACCGCCAACTTTTATATTATACAGCAGCATCACTCTGAGATATTACGTAGTTGTGAAACTCCTTAAGTAAAAGAAAGCTAAGCTCTTAAACATTGAGATGTCTTTTGGTGTAATGGTTAGAATTTCATTAAGAAACTTCGCAGTTAAACATGTTCATCCTGAACCAATTCTGAGATGGATGACCTACTAAGAAATTATACAAACATGACAACCATGAGGCTCTTATACCAAAGCGGACAATATCTCGATAATTAAGAATTTGAGCTATCACAATAGTCTTGCATATGTGATTTATGTGAGTTTATCTTAATTTCTTAAGTGTCCAAAAAAAAAACACTCCAAGATATTCATCAAGGCTTCGATTGGGACAGCTTTCTTACTACTTTCTATTACAACTTTTTTAACACAAAATTTTCTAATTCAAAAAAACTTTGTAATAAAAAATTATTTTTAAAAACAATAAAAAAATTATCCCAAATGAAGCACAAGTTTATCTTCTGTTACAAAGCTATAATGTAATATATCTCCATTACAATTTTATGAAAAAAAATACTAATATTCTATGATAGGGATAGCAAACTCATTGATCTACATACACTTGAAATCATTATTTGATTGGTTGATTGCTTGATTACTTGATCGCTTGATTGAATGAAGCATATGAACCTTCCATCCTTGCAGTATATCTATAACTTTGTTGATTTAGGCTTCGTTTGGGACGGCTTTTTTACTGCTTTCTAAAACGGAGTTTTAGTACAAAATAAAATTTTGTACTAAAACTCCGTTTTAGAAAGCAGTAAAAAAGCCGTCCCAAACGAAGCCTAAATCAACAAAGTTATAGATATACTGCAAGGATGGAAGGTTCATATGCTTCATTCAATCAAGCGATCAAGTAATCAAGCAATCAACCAATCAAATAATGATTTCAAGTGTATGTAGATCAATGAGTTTGCTATCCCTATCATAGAATATTAGTATTTTTTTTCATAAAATTGTAATGGAGATATATTACATTATAGCTTTGTAACAGAAGATAAACTTGTGCTTCATTTGGGATAATTTTTTTATTGTTTTTAAAAATAATTTTTTATTACAAAGTTTTTTTGAATTAGAAAATTTTGTGTTAAAAAAGTTGTAATAGAAAGTAGTAAGAAAGCTGTCCCAATCGAAGCCTTGATGAATATCTTGGAGTGTTTTTTTTTTGGACACTTAAGAAATTAAGATAAACTCACATAAATCACATATGCAAGACTATTGTGATAGCTCAAATTCTTAATTATCGAGATATTGTCCGCTTTGGTATAAGAGCCTCATGGTTGTCATGTTTGTATAATTTCTTAGTAGGTCATCCATCTCAGAATTGGTTCAGGATGAACATGTTTAACTGCGAAGTTTCTTAATGAAATTCTAACCATTACACCAAAAGACATCTCAATGTTTAAGAGCTTAGCTTTCTTTTACTTAAGGAGTTTCACAACTACGTAATATCTCAGAGTGATGCT